CTTTACTTTTAATCCTGTTTTAAAAAGAAAACTTCATCGGAAATGAAAAAAAACCTTTTAGGTGATTGAGTATAGTAATAATTTTCTTTGGAGAATGAAACAGCACCTTCAGATTGTTTTTATATAAAAGCTATGTGTATCAAAAAAATAGCAGCATCTATAAAACCGTGGTCAGAAGAAATACATGCCAGACCATTAATATAAAATGCAGAATATTAGACTGCATGGTCTTCAGAAGATGGAAGAACTAATAATGGGCTTTCGCTGGAAATGCAGATGTCAGCTGTGGGTGCCTTGAATTGTCAATAATAATGTTAAACACAGGGTAGAATATCAGCCTAAGCTTATTCTTTATTCTTCTCTCAAAATCATTAAAGCTAAGACAGTTGTGACATATGTTCCGCTATGGCTCAATAAGTGAAGACGTGCATGGAACGTATATGTGTGTATGTGCTGAATTATTCATGTCTAAGTTACAGCTTTGGGGAAGCAAATGGAGCGCGCTTTGCTGGCAGGTAGGCTTCGAACCATATCTCATGGAGAAAGAGAATAAATATTCTCTGTTTATCCTGGCCCAAGCTAGTTATCAGCTGTGTACACAGGCCTAGGCATTATTTTTCTTTTTACTATAGCTGCATATAGCTGCATTAGGAAAAAGCCGGATAAATATCAAATTCTAAGAGAAAGTACTGTAATGGGATTTATCACCTACATACCCCATTTTGTTACCTGTACTGCATCCATCTCAGTAAAGGACTTTCCATGTAAGGCTCACCAAATTTACTGAGCTGTAGCCACAGGGTCAAACTTAGAGGCAGGGGAAGGGAGACTTAAACCTGGAGGGTGATGGTACCTCCTCAGGGGTACCTTTCTCCTTGCAGAGAGAGAGGGGACTGAGGCAGGGTGTGCAGCAGAAATCCCATTATCCTCTTATACCCCTCTCAGCAATTCCTGCCATCTTCCTGTATTTAATGACCTGGGATTTGAGTTACTCACCAGCCCTTGTAGCCGTATCGGCATGAGATTGTGACTTTAACATGGATGTCTCTGTGAACCAGGTGGAGGGCAGGAACTACAGCAGGGGAACAGCCTGATGCTTGACCAAATTCAGTCTCTCAGCACCCATTTGGAGGAATGTTATTGGGACTGTGATTTTTTTTTTTCTTTTAGCTCCTTCTAGCAAATAAATTGCCTTCCCCCACTCCCTCAAGACAATGGATATTAAATGAGCTGCAGACCCTGTTTTTTAGTATTTTTAAACATGTATTTCTTTTGTGGTACATTAGGTTCTTATGTGACTTATTGTATATAGGTTCTGTTGGGAAGTTAATTTGAAATACTGTAAGTTTAAATTTAGACGTGTTCAGTTCTGGGTGGATTTCAAAGCTCTGTAGAAATCTCATTTTACGTTTTGAGGATGTGTGCAGGATTGAGTTTAAAATCAAAACAATATTTTAAGTGTCACATCTATTGCAAACCCACTTCATGCTGTGACCTCTTAGTGCAATGCACAAAGTTTCAACAGGTGAAGGGAATTCAGCTGCTCAAGGAAGAGGTGTTGATTCAACAGATGACTCCTCTCTTGAGGCTTGTCTAAATGATATTTTGCTTCAGGATACATTTTAATTACTATGAGGGGGAAGTGTAACTTTCTAGCATAGGTAGGAAACACATGCTACTTGTTAATTTTGTTTTGCCCTTTGCTAACAAACTTATTTTAGGTTAAAAACGTCTAGAGCAGAAATTATCATCTAATGCGCTCCAGTAAATGCTGTTAGGCAGTGGTGACCCTCATCCTTCTCAGACAAGTAAAAACTTACATATTGAAATAAAATCTCAATGCTTAAATGTAAATGCTTAAATCAATAAAACATCTATATTGCCTAAAAACATACTAGTATTTGTTGCCTGGGTTTAGATTATACATGCATCAATGTCTTGTTTTTGGACAACTTTTAAATGTGTGCTTTATATATTAAATAATCTCTTCCTGTTTTTGTCAAGGTCTGCGAATTATTTATTGCAGCCTACGTTACCCTCCTACTTATTTGCTAAAAGCTAGGATTTTACCACTTGAAGGTTTTGGATCTGTCTGGGGTAAACACATTGTATATTAGCAACATTTTTGTAATTATGGCAAGTGTCTAATAGCAAAGAAAAAGCCCTCCTCCTCCAATATTGCTTTTATTCAGTATGTCCTTGATTTAAATTCGATGTTATGTTATTTTTTTATTGCTAATGTCCTGTGCTTTTGGGAGGATGAAATATTCCTTAACTTCTTAGTTTACTTGGCTGATGAAGTAGTTGCTCGGCAGCATTATCTGTGTTTTCCCATCTCATATAATCTTATGGCAGCCTAGCTCTGACCTTTATATGATGGAACCTAGTGGTAATATACCCTTCTGCTTAACAAGCTTTGAAACAAAAATATATGATTGGCAGAGCTGCAGGAAATAATTAGTTCCAAGTAGATGTGAGAAGTGAAAGGATTATTTAAAGGAAAAGAAAGTGATTCAGCTGGTTTATGGTGCATATGAAGTTGTCTTAGCTTTTAATTTAACTATTAAGGGAATTAAATAAATTTAAGTCACTATATGAAAGCATTTTTGAATGAATCATTGTAAAGAAGCTCTCTAAATAACTTTACTGCTTATTGGAAGCTCAAATATTTGAAACGTTAATTAATTTGCTCTTACAGACCTACTCATAAAATGTGGCTGAGTGGAAAGGCTCCTGTAGGGAAGACAGCATGTGTACTAGGTCTTGCTGAAACTTACCTAGAGAACAGTTTATGGTGGTGTTCTTTGAAGTAATAAAAAATGTGTATATATGCATTTATATATATACACATATATGTGTATATATATATATGCATTTCCCAGGAAAGAAATCTTCGATCAGTTCTTTGGTCAGTTGTTACAGAGGTCAAGATGTGTTTTCTATGTTTTAATTAGATATACAAACCAGGACAAGCTCAATCGCTGTATGGATGAGTCCTCAAGTATGCTGTACGTGGGGGAAGAAAGAAAGAAAAAGAAAGAACAATTCTCCAGAATTTTGTGTACGGCCCTTAAAAATCTGTAGATCACGCAGCCGTGTTCTGCAATGAATGAATAAAGAGTGAGCCACTCTCCTGCCTCTTGGATTTTCCCATACCCTAATCTTCCATTCATTTGAATGGGTCTTTACTAATAGCACCTCCATATATGAAAGGAAAGCAATGGTGAAGGCAAAGTTAACAGCCACATAGGCTTTCTTCTTCTTCACAAGCATGGATCAATGACCAGAGATTAGGAGACATTTCACCCATGTTGTCACTGGCTTTGTGCAGAATGTACTTCCCCTCCAAGTGATGGTGACTGTGCTGCCTCTCCTCGTATAGATTGAAGCCGAGTCCTGTAAGAAAATGGTTGTGAATTACATGTGGTATGGGAGAAATGCATAGTTCTTAAAGCTGTTGCAATGAACAATTGGAGGACTTTTTGATAGAGATCTAGTAAGGAACTAATGCTAGGAAAGAAATATAAGAGAAACTTAATTCCCCTTTGGGAGCATGAAATGCAGAAGTTCTGGTGAAAGCCAGGATGAGTTTGGAAAGAACTTGATTAAACTCACGTTGGTCTAAAATTGGCATTCTATTTTTCTCCTAATGAAGGTATCTGTTCAGATACTACTCGTTCTATCTCTTACCTTTGTATGCCTCGTCAGGACATCATTTTGCCATTTATTTCCTTAGCATTCTTTCAGATTGACCAGTTCTGATTCTCTTTGATGCACGTTAGAGCAGGGCTTTTTTCCTTTTAGATTCTCTTTCCATTTCTCTTCTAGATGTGTTTAGTACAGGAAATAGCTGGTTGCTGGTTCTCCTGCTCATCTGTACCGCTGCCATTGATGATTAGAGTCCCATGTCTTCCCAGTTTCCTGTGCTCGTTGCTTTCAACTTTTGAAAAATTCTGGTTTTGAAGCCAAAGCTCTGTGAGGTTATTCTCTGTGGACGGTGAAAGGGACGGTTTTTCAAAAATTTTTTTTTGTGTGAATGGGGTGGCAAAATGAGGGATGATCTCATGTCAACAACTTCCAATGCTGTATCGTGCTTGTAACAATGTAAATCTGAGTTTTGTGCCTTATTGCCGTGAAAGTGGTATGTCTGATTAAAACTAACTTTAGAATTTATAAGTTACCAGTCGCTTATTTTCTCTTAGTGATATCCACAGTGTGTTCTCCTCGCTATCCAATGCTCAAAATATAATAAACTCCATTACAAGCAATTATTAATCTGACAAATGCGCATTTTGAACGCTCATACTGATCTGGTGCAGTGCACCAAATGTATAAAGAGCAATGTAAAGCTGCTGTTTTATTTCAGATCTTGAAAGGTCAGAGTACAGTACTGAGACTTAGGGAAGGGCTTTTACTACTTTTTTGTGACCGAGCCGTCACGTATATTGCAGGTTTTTCCAGCCACTGTTTATTGGCACACTTTCCAACTGCAACTGTATTTTTCTCTTTTCTATGACAGAAAAGAGAACATTTATGTAATTAATGCTTCTTTCAAGGCATCAATATAGTACATTTAAAGCAACAAGTTTGCTTAACTGTGTGAATCGCATTGTTGCGTTGTCATTAGAAGTATAATGAACAAAATGAGCTACATGACTTCAGAGGAAAACTATGTGCAAAAGTATGTAGCTGCTATATCCAAAGCTATAATTAGGGAATATTTAAATTATTTTGCTTAACTTTAAAGGTATTTAGGTATTTAACTCATATATGCTTGAATACGTATTGCAGGTTTTTATCTTTCTATGAACTTTGACTTGATTAAACCTCTCACAGCCTGAGACAAATTCTTGAAAACCAAGTATTTGGCAAAAACATGTAGTGATTTGGTAATATTTTCATGTATCTGTATGATTCAAAATCCTGTGTAAGGAAAACTTAGACTGTTCAAATAATTTGGTAAGTGTTTGGTTTTAATACTGGTTTTTGTAACTTGGCAGGGACAGCCTGTTGGAGACTGTGATTTTAATGTTCGACTTGCATGTATAGAGAAAGAGATTATATTTCCACGACATGAAAAGATCAAGAATGGTCTTATCGACAAAGCACAGGAACCATTCAGTGTTCGAAACAAACCATTTTTCGACATCTACACTTCAAGAAAGGTAAACCTGATTTCATTTGTTTATCTTGTGGCGCTGAAGGCAGCAAAGCAGTGTTGGGTATAGGTTTTCCCTCAGCTGTTTTAGCTTCCAGTGAGTTCCTCTGCTAACTGAGTGTTCAGCAATGCTTGGGGGGGCAATTGGCAGTTTGGGATACTCTGAAAAGTGGTTTTAGGCTACCTATTCCTTCTGAATTACTATTTTGCCATATTTAAAACCTGTACTTTGGCAAAACCTAATTCTTTAGTTTCATATGTTGAGTGATGATATAGAAGTTAATAGGTTTAGGTCTGAAATGTCTCTGAGCTCAAGGGAATGTCCGAGAGCTATGTTGTTTACACTGTCCTCTATTGTAGGTAAGAATATAATGTTCTTTTTACTTCCAGTCCCCATTTGGCCATAGTATAAGAATCATGAGTTGGGCTTGAACTCCCACTTCATGTTCAGCAGTGATTACTAACAGCCCATTCTAGTTAACGTCTCCACATTTTACTTATTAAAATACTGCCCTAGGTCTTCTGAAGTAATGCATATGACTTGCAAATACATGTATGAGTTCCTATCTTTCACTGTGCACTTTTTTCTTCAGTATAGACATATCCTAACATTCTGTAAAATACTTTTATTCCCTTCTGTGAATTAAATGGCAGTGATTACTAAGAGCCCATTCTAGTTAACGTCTCCACATTTTACTTATTAAAATACTGCCCTAGGTCTTCTGAAGTAATGCATATGACTTGCAAATACATGTATGAGTTCCTATCTTTCACTGTGCACTTTTTTCTTCAGTATAGACATATCCTAACATTCTGTAAAATACTTTTATTCCCTTCTGTGAATTAAATGGCTCCTGGATAATACTTTCTTCTAGAGAAACCTGTTTTTCTCAGCACTGCCGTTAGAAGTAGTCCCGTGTCTCATCAACACAGAGCAATGAACATAAAATTGTTGGCTTCCATTTGCTTTTGTCATTGCCTTGATCCTGTAAGCAGGTAATGAATCTCTCCCCAAGAGGAGCAGTAATGGTATTTTGGCTAACCAAGAGTGGCTGAAAAGTAAATAAAGAGATAAGGCGTAAGCAGGACTTTCAAAAAAACCTGGGAGAGAGTAGCAGTCTTTGGAAAGTTTAAGTCACGAACAATTCTCTGAGAAGTTCGTGTGGATAAAGCACTATAAATGTTTTGATCTCTTCTCTGTATTTATATTGTTGCATTTTTGGGTTGTCTATTTAAGATCAACATCGTAAATTTGAAGTAAATTTTTCATGGGGGGAAAAATGTGTCCTGTTTGTCTAGGACACATAATTTTGAACTTGAAATTAAAAGAAACTAGAAGAAAAGGACACGTCTTATAAATTTATATGTTAGAAATCATTTTTAGTTTCTTGAAGTGTTCTGCAGTTCCAGGTTATTTAGCCTAATTTAAAAATCACAGGAAGAACATGATTGGAAGCATTCTTAGAAAAATTTCTGGGTAAAACACATCTGTAAACAAATCTCATGCTAGTTAAGTCTAATTGCCAGCACATGGCTATTGAAATGATCCTCTGCTTCCCAAAACCTGGGAGATCAAAATTATCCTCAAAGGCTTTCTTTTTCCTGTCTAAAGGAGATTTATGAATTGTCCATGTACATTCCAATGTATTGGATTTTAACAATTCTGACTGCGGCACTTTTTAAAGTCAGCAATGAAATGATGCTATTTACTGGTCTTTCTCTGCCTTTCTCAAAGCTCTGAGCATAAACTCTTTAAGACATTGACTGTCTTACTACCCAGCAGTAAAGCATCAAATAGGTTGGTGAGGAACAAAAATTATACATGGCTAGAATTTGTTTCATAATAGACTTATAATTGCTTTTGATACTAATGCTTGGACAATATTTCTTTATTTTGTCCTTGTCTTTGCCACCAGGTTTGATTAACTTGTGAGTTATGGAATGAAGCAGGTTATCTGGCCAATTTTCTTCATTTTTGTGAAGAATATGTCTGTATGCAGCAGTTGGAGATACACGCAGAGAGCAGGAGGTGTAGAGTTACTGGCAGTGCAGAGCGAATAGCCAGTGTTATTTTTCTCTTATTTTAATCATTTCAAACATTTATGATTTATCTACTTTGTGCATGTATTAGATCAAATTGGTAGGAAAATAAAGCAAGAGTAATATCCTGGGTTTTATCAAACTACATGTTTTGAGAGATTATTTTTTTAACTTGCCCTCTTTTTGTCAGTTAACTTTCCCCGCAGTTAGAGTGAGTAGAAGTCAGTGGCTGGTTTGCACTAGTTATATAAGCACATTTTCTTTCTCTGAGGGTTCCTTTTCCTCTGAGAGTTTTGCTGCTTTTTTATGAGCGATGAATATACCCTTAGAACAGATACAGTCATGACTTACGCAGTTTGAGGGAGCAGGGCTTCTGCAAGTGTGAAGCATGGCTATCTCTTTGGTTTTTGTTACATATCTCAAGCTTTTAAAAAACAGTATTTGATGATATCAGTAAGTCTGCAGTACCAGGTAAAACTTTAAGGACATTGCAACCTGTATTTGAGGTTATTATGTTGCAGATGCAGTTCAGTCAACAAATTCTCACCCTAATGTGTTATCACCACCTTAAAAACAACTTTGAGATAAGAGTATCTATATGCTTTTAATTCATTGGGGTGTGGGGGTTTGGTGTGGAGTATTTGGGTTTGGTGTGGGTTTTTTGGTGTTTTTTGGGGGGGTGTTTGGTTTTGGGGTGGTTTTTTTAAGTGGCAATCAGGGCAGACTCTAAAGCTTTCTACATTTTGGGTTTGAAACAACCATAGGTTTTAAAATTTTCTTTTTGCACAACGTATGTTATAGGTTTTAAACAATCCTTGTCCTTATTTAAAGTCACTGTTATCTAGTGAAACATGTTCATTATACTACTGTTATAACAGAAAACTTCTAATGAGGCTTTAAATCTGATCATTGTTTTCAATAAGTAAGAAGTTTTATGTCAGTGTTTAAGAATTGTTTGTATGTCCTATCATAACTGTAAGGAGTTTTAGGTAGTACTGGCCAGTATTGATGCGGAGTTTTATCTAAGCCAATATTGGTAAATGTTTAAGGGAAATCATTATAGAATCAAAAAATATTTCAAATATTTATCTGCTAAAAAGAAAATTATTCATAAAAATATATTCTCAAAAGAATAATATTTAGGCTAAGAATTATTGTTTCTCTTATTTACCTCAAAGATTGTTTCTCTTTACCTCAAAGATACATGTTTTGTTTCATTACTTCTGTGAACTTGATGAGTGTGACTCCTCCTAACACTTCCTTAGGATATTGAAACTTTGTGACCAGAATTTTTCATTATTATATGGTCAGAATAGACTATTGTTTTGAAGCATTGCCCTATTCTGAAAGAGGACTATTTAAAAATACTATTGCTTTGCCAAAAGATCTTTTTCCTATGTTTATTCAGTCATCTCTGCAACTATAGCAACAAATGTACTCATAGCGATTAATACTTCATCAGTATAGCTGAAAGAGCAAGCTGGGTTTCTTTTGCATCAATGACAGATGTCTTAGGGTTTACCAACTGCGTGCAGCACAGCAAGGTCTGCAGAGAGACAAGGAATTCCTTCTAGCTTCTAAGTCTGCTCATATTCATATTGACTCAGCATATCCATCAATCCATCTCCAGAGATGGTGGCATCTGAATGGATGCTAAAGGAATGACAAATGGGACCTGCTTAGGTAGATCTTTTCCTTATGTTTAATTAGCTGTTTTTCTTGTTCTTCTCCAAGAACAGCGGGATCCTTTCATCTTTAGAAAGAATCTAACAGGATCCTTCCTTTCTTGACTAGAGGTCCTTAAAGATTTACACCCTTGAGTGGTCTCAGATAAGCTGTCCGTTTTCTTGAGCGTGGGTTTCTTCCCTACGTCCAGTTCTTGTATTTCACTGACAGAAGATGTAGCTTCTCAGGTCACCCCCAAGACTTGTTATTTACAAAGAAAGATCAATAGCTGTCTTTGGCCACCGATAAGGTGGATCTCCGATTGCACCAGCGTATTCAAGACTGAAAAAGTGGAAAACCCGTACCACTGGTCAGAATGTGTTTCATCAAAATTCTTGGATGTGTCTTGGAGGTTTTTTTGAAGCGTAGCTGGGTTTTGCTTAGTGTCAAGAAAAGAATCAAGTGTACTTCTGAATTACCACAGCTGGAACCACACATCACATCTTATTTTTCTTTTGAGAAACTTCAATTTTTGAAATATGTTCCCAGGACGCAGTTTGAACCTCACAAAAGTAAGTATTGTAGACCTCTCCCTTCACAGCCTCCCTCCGTCATTCCTTTCTATGACCGGAGTTAAGACATAGTGTTCCAAACTGAAAGCCGTCGTTGGCTATTCTTATTAACAATAGCACATATCAGTAAATGTGTGTTAGCTTGAGTGGATTGTAGGAAGATTACTCAAAAAGGCCAGGAGTCTCAGCGCTATATTTAATAGCAGAGTAAGTGGCTAAAACTTTTAATTATACCAGGAAAAACGAATGTTGTCCACATAGGTTTAGTTATTTTCAGTGAAAATGTGGAATTACTTGAAACAGCAGTAAACTTTATACTGTGTTATACCATAAGTCCAATAATGAAATTGTTCTTAGAGTTATGGGTTTGGGACTTTAATACCAGAGTTAGAGTCCTGGCTGTTTTTTTTCTAATCTGAAAATCAATTTATTGTGAAATGATATGCACTTTTAAAGTGCAATTACAAAGTACGGCAGCATTTATAGTTGTGCCTTGACATTTGTTGTTGGTACTAGATTTTGGAAATAAGGACTATATTTTTACAATGTTATATCTTTATAATGTTGTCTTGAACATTATTTTAAGATGTTTTGATGGACTTTTGTTTGTTTTTTGTAAGACTGAGTTTTGGTGGTAAGAGGAAGAAAAGAAAGGGACAGTCAGCTGGGAACAGGTTGTATATTCTTGGAATCTCTAAAAATGTTACCTTGTTGAACTTTGATATTGATG